GCTCCCCTGTGTTATTAAAAATATGTTTATATTTTCATTGATTTCAGAGAGGAAGGGAGAGGGAGAGAGGATAGAAACATCAATGAAAGAGAGAATTACAGATCCGATGCCTCCTGCACGCCCCACAAAGGGTGTCGAGCCCGCAGTCCGGGCATGTGACCTGACTGGGAATCGAACCGTGACCTCCTGGTTCATAGGTCGATGCTAAACCCCTGAGCCACCCCAGCCGGGTATCCCTGTGTCACCGCCTTTGCCCTGTCACCGGATAAAACAAGCAGATGACGCTGTAAAATAAGCGCAGGCGGCGGCGAGAGGAACCGCAGGCGATGGGGCCGGAATGCGGTGCAGGTGGGCGTGGGGATCACCAAGCAGGAGACAGGCCTATTTCCATTGATGACGGACACGATGCGTTAACATCTGTGTTAAATGCTGAAACCAAATGACCAGCACTTGTGTCCAGAAGCCAGAGAGACTCAGAGATTTTGAGAAAGGTTTTCGCTCTCTGGGAGCGGGCTGCTCCGGACGATGTGGAATCGTGTGGCTCCTGTCAGGAGTCTCCCTTCTGAGTTTCTTCAATGACTTGAGGGCGGCTTCATTCCTAGACCCCTCTCATCTCCCACATTATCAGAAAGTCACTGAATGTGTCATTTTTATGGCAAAATTAGACTATTTTAGACGTTGCTAATGTACGTTGTAGTTTTAATAGAAGTGATCAGTGAGCAGGAATTAAGGGCCAAGAGAATGTTCTCACAGGTGACAGTGTCCTCGTAACTGTGCAGGGTACCTGTCCTTTTGGTCGTAAGATCTGAAATCAGCATATTCTCTCTGTATGTTTTGTGAACCATTGAGTCCATTTGGCGTCCTTTCAGGTCATCTCCAGGTGACATTCCGAAAGGTGAGCGCACCCAAGGGCTGCCCTGACAACCAAGTACAGAATTGGAAGAACACACTTCCGTGTGGCGGTGACCGGAAGTACTGCAGGCCCAGGAGCTTCTGCAAAGGAGAGACCAGCTGGTGTGGCAACCCATGCAGAACAGAACCCGGGCGATTCACGAAGCCCAGGCCAGGAGCCTCAGGGCTGGGGTTCAGAGAAGCACATTGGGGGTCTCAGCAGTGAGGGCCCTGGCCCTGGAGGGATGGAGCCCAGAGAGAGGGTGGGGCAGGGCCCTGCTGGAGAAGACCAGGAGGAGGGAGGGTGGAGAAGAGCAGCCATTGGGGGAAGGAGCTGCCCACGTGGATGTGGCCCTGGCAGCCTGGACCTGCCTCTCCCTGCCTTTATCCACCTGGAAGCCTCTCCTTCTGCAGTGACTTGATTCATGTTCAACGATTCAGGAAGTCTTTGCTAATGAAACAAGTCACATAATACAGAGGTATCTCATGGGAAAGTTTATAGTCTCTCTCTCAGCACCACCCCTGCCCCACCCTTCCCTAATCTCCCTCTTCTGCAGAGAAACAAGTACTTTGAACACAAAGTACTTCCCCGTCTCTTTATTGGTTCAGTTCTTGACCAATATTAATTGAGCACCTACTATGTGGAGACTTGATCCAAGGCACAGGGGGCACAAATATGAGGAAGGTGCAGGGGGCTCCGCACCTCCAGGGGGTTATGTCGTGGTGGAGGGAAGTACAAAAGGAGGGAGGTTTCTAGATGTAGAGGTAAAAGTGAGGGGTCCTTTCTGCTGAGGGGTCATTAGCTGGGGCTGAGAGAGTCTGAAGGGAGCAGTGGAGCAGGAGAGGGGTCAGTCTGGCTTCCCCTTGGAGATGACACATCTTGTCCTGTGCCAACATGAACAGAATTGATGCTCCCCCCCCCCCCCCCCATGGCAACTCCACCTTTGTCATCAGCGAGGCTCCCAATCACACTCACCTGCAGGTGCTGTGTGGTCCTGGCTCATACCACACGCTCCACGGCAGTCGCTGTCACAGCTCCTCTAGTGCTTATGTTGCAAGGACTGTTTCACTTCCTCATTTCTTCTTCCCGGGTTTCACTTTCGACCACTTCTAACCTGTCATTTGGATTTAAATGGTTTAAGATGTTAAACTTCTTTTCTCGTGAAAACAACAACAAAGCCAAGAGCAATCCTGGTGAACCCGCCTGGACTGATTTGCCTTCTCATCTGTGAGCTCATTTGGGACATGGTGCTCTATGCCCTTTAGGAAAACGTCTCCTTCTTGGAAGTGTAAGCTGTGTAGCGCTCCTCTGTTCATTCACTGTGTCACTGGGGTGTAACTTACAGGTGAGTGCAAGGTCCTAGGTTCCCAGGTGGTACAACATCACCCAGACTGAGGCGGGCGATGTCCAGAAACCCAGATGGGGAGTCCCTCCTGTCCCCTCCCAGCTGGCCCCCCTCCACAGGGAACCCGTGTGAGCACTTCCATTACCACAGGTTGGTTTTTGCCTGACTTTGCACTTCATAGAAGTGGAATGAAACAACATGACTCCTTTGAGATGTGACTTCTTCCATTCAGTATTGTATCTGTGGACTCAGCTGACGCTCCCTGGAGGCTGATGGTGCTGTGAGAAGGAGAAAAACACACAACACACCCCCAACAACCTGTCCGGCCTCGTCCAGTCGAACACCCACGAGGACAGCTGTCCCCCGCCATCCGCCACCCTCCCCAGATCTGCACGTGGCTGGGGGCCCTCATTGAACCCTTGTTTCAGGTTTAAATTGAGGGTCATGTACACGCTTCTCCCAATGGGACTGGCAAATTCAAAGTGTCCTCGCACTCTAGTGTGAGTGTTTGTGTAGAGTCTGGAACGACAGGGCAAACGCCCTGACTTACTGTTAAGTTACATGCTAGTGTATTGTGTGCTGGTTGGACTATAGCTTTCACTTCCCTGATCTTGCACATTTTCTGCAGTGAGGAGGGAGCACGTTTAAAATCACAGTCTTATCAGCTACATGGAACAGGAGTGAATTGTGATGCCCACCTCGTCCACGGCCCTGTGACACCAGGACTCAGGACTCACACAGGATGCGTGGCCACCAGGGCTCTCAAAGAAACAGCCTGCCCGGCCCACGTGGCTCAGTGGTTGAGTGTCGGCCTATGAACCAGCAGGTCATGGTTTGATTCCCGGTCGGGGCACATGCCCAGGTGGCAGGCTTGATCCCCAGTGTGGGGTGTGCAGGAGGCAGCTGATAAATGACTCTCTCTCAGCATTGAAGTCTCTATCTCTCCCTCCCTCTTCATTACTCTGAAATCAATAAAAAATGTATTTTAAAAGCCACCACACCAGAGCACGACAATGCCACCAGCTAAGTGACACCCACCATGTATTGTCTTGGGGACCAGACATCGCAGGCTGGGGGAGGGAGGGTGCAGGACTGGACGTGGTGGCCAGCGCTCCACAGGTTTAACCCCTCCTCCGTCCGTTCTTCTGCTGCCCCTCGCCCTGTCCTGCCCCACTGACCAGCCTCATCCGCTCTCCCTCGAGTGGCCGGGAAAATGAGCTCTAAGCGCCTGTGTCAGGGCTTTGCCTTTATGTCCCTCCTGGCTCTCCTGTCCCCAGTGCAGGACACTGGAGTCTCCAAATGAGTCGCCGGTAGAAACAGTGAATTGTTGGGTTTCCCACCGGCCATCCTGCTCAGAGTAACGACAACCGTCCCCTGAAAGGGTGCACAGGCGCAGAAGCTGGGGTAGGGCCCCTCCTCTTTCCCATGTCCATCCCGGATGAGACTGACATTGGAGGTGAGCGGCCCTCAGGGTCCAGAGGAGACCACAGAGGACAGCGCGGGAGCTGAGACCGGGGAGCCGTGGGCCTGGGACACTGTGGGGAGGAGGGAGGCTGGTGCTGCCTCCCCCACGCTCCCCTCTTCTAGACACAACCTGCCTTTCAGCCCCTCCAGGCCTGGAGGGAGATTCTGCCCTGAGGGGAAGGGCAGGGCGGGACCAACGTGAGCTGAGCTCCCCTTAGGAGCCACCCTGTAAGGGAAAGAACTGGACTCAGAGCCTTTGTCCGCCCATCACACAGAGAACAGAGAGGCTCCCAGCAGGGCAGCCAGGATGGCCTGGGAGCAGAGGATGCAGGGTGTTCCCGCCTCAGGAAGGGGCACTGCTCGTCCTCTCCACCCCCAGTCGCGAGGAACGGGGGACTTTGTGTTCCAGGCTCAAGTGTGACCTGAGCCCCAGCTGGTAGAGTTTGTCCCCGAGGGGATGCCCCTCTTCCCACTGACTGTGCATCCAGCTCCTCTCAGACCACCCTGTGCAGGCCCCACGCTCCCTCCCAGGGGACATGCTCAGCTCAGGGAGGGCAGGGCCAGCCCCACGGAGTCCGACCCTGGCGGCCCCACTGAGGACCAGGCTGCTCCCTTTCAGGCCGGCTCCTCTCATCCTATAAACATCATTGACTTTTTCTTGACCCTCCCATGAAGGTCCCCACAAAAGAGAAAGCCCTTTGCACTTTGCAGGTGTTTCTTGAACAATTTGGACTTCATGACACACTTACAGAGGAAAAGACATTTTATGGAGATTCTTAATCTTTCATTTTATTGTTTTGGATTTAAAATCAATAACAAAAATAATCATTTCCCTAAAAGGAAAAAATGTTTCTGATAGTAATGAATAGAATGTTACTGGTGTGCATTTGGAGCATATCATAGATTTTAAATGAAAAGTAAATCAATCAGATCTTTTAATAATTCCCTATGAGCTCATTCGCTGCCTTTTCTGGTTCCTTTGGATCAGGTTGGAGATGCGGCACGTGATGCGCTTTCATTTCTTGAAGAAAGTGTTTGATGTGTCGTTCACCAGAAGACCCCCGACTGTTTAGAGAGATTGAGTCCGTCCTTCAGTTTCCCTGATTCTGGATGGAGAAGGAGGAGGTGAAGGAAGCAGGGAGTGGGGCAGGTGGGAAGGTGAACAGAGCAGAGTCTGGGGCAGTCACAGGAGGGGAAGGAAAAGGGGCGCAGGAGGGGAGAAAGCAGAGGGACTGTGAGACCTGAGGGGAGGGATGGAGCTGGGGCCCAGGGGGGAGCAGGAGACCCAGAGACAGAGACAAGCCCAGGGAGAGAAGGGGAGGGGGGAGCAGGAGTGAGGAACCTCACCCTGAGAATGCTCTCCAGCTTCTGACATTGGGCTCCTATGTTTTCTAACAGTTCAATCTCGGGCTCGAACCGCTGGCCCTGGTTGTCCACGAAGGTGACCCAGCAGTGCTGGAGCTCTATGGGAACAGGGAGGGAAAGGTGAGCTCCTTCTAGAGCGGGGAGGGCCCAGGTCTCTGACTCTAGGGACACACCCTCCCCATCAGAATCTCCCTGCCCCCTTTCTCTCTCCTCCCAAGGCACTGAGCTCATCCCTCAAATTCTTCCTTCCACTGGAATCTGAGGCAGCCCCTCCCCTTCTACCAGGAAGGACCTGGGTCCTGATGGCACAGGGACCCACCTCCCCCCTTCCCTTGACCCCCTCTCTCCCCTGCACTCTCTCCTCCAGGAGACTCCATCCTCTCCAGACCCAGCAGCCCCCCTGCAGGCAGCTGACAGGCTTCCCCACCTGGATTCTCCTCCTGCCCCCTCTGTGTAGCCATTTCCCAGCCTCTCTGCCCTCCCACCTCCCACCCTCAGGAGTCCCTGCTGACCATTGAGGGTCATGATGGTGAGTTGGGCCCCAGCGTCCCGCAGCTGGCGCAGCCAATGCTTATATCTATCACGTTTTTTATAGATGCGAGCAGCAAAGATGCGCAGCCTCACGTGGCTGTTCTCGCCTAGGAATTCCACCAGTTTCTGGGCACAGTCAGGGCAGGGGCTCCAGGAGATGTAGCAGGTGAGTCTGTACTGCTTCCCCTCATCCAGGTGCCAAGAACGGACCCGATCCTGGAAGCACAACTCTGCATGACGAGGTTCCCAGTGTGTGTCAGCACCCTGAGCACAGGAGGCAGCCGATCAATGATTCTCTCTCATCCTTGATGTTTCTAAGGTTCTCTCCCTCTCCCTTCTTCCCTGAAATTAATAAAAAAAAATATTACAATGAAACATACAACAACGTGTCTTCTGATTTGATGATGAGGAGCTGATTTGATGATGAGGTTCTTGCAAACCAGCCCGGGAGTGGGGACGTCCTCTGCTTCCTGCCACTCAGACTGAGGCCTGTGGGTGTGTCTGGAGAAACTAGGAGATTCCTGCGTGTCATCTGCTTGCGTATGTGTGTGTGTGTGTCTGTGTTTGGTGAGTCAGGGCAGCCTTCGGGCCCGTTGCCCAGACACAGGTGTGTGCCAAGCCCGAACTTTGTCGTATCTTTGGCACCTGCGGTGGGACCACCAGCTGGAAACAAGGGAATCAGCCACAGCCACGGAGCCACCATGGAGTGCAGAGTGCGCTGGGAACAGACCCGGGGCTGCACTGGCCACGTCCGCTGGAAGGAAAGTGGGGCCGGCACAGGGTGGTCTGAGAGGAGCTGGGTGGACAGTCAGTGGGACAGAGGGGCATCCCCTCAGGGACAAACTCTACCAGCTGGGGCTCAGGTCACACTTGAGCCTGGAACACAAAGTCCCCCGTTCATCGAGGCTGGGGGTAAAGAGGACGAGCGGAGCCCCTTCCTGAGGAGGGCACACCCTGCATCCTCTGCTCCCAGGCCATCCTGGCCGCCCTGCTGGGAGCCTCTCTGTTCTCCTCTGTGTGATGGGCAGACAAAGGCTCCGAGTCCAGTTCCTTCCCCTACAGGGTGGCTCCTAAGGGGAGCTCAGCTCACGTTGGTCCCGCCCTTCCTTCAGGGCAGAGTCTCCCTCCTGGCTCAGCCCCGCAGGTCCCTGCACTGGGCCCGGCCATGCCCTGCAGTGGCGGCCGCGGGAGAGTCAGGGATGGGCACCCGGGGCCTGTCCTGTGGGGGCTCCGTGTCCTGTGCCCAGACCCTCCTCAGGTGGGAGCACCTGTCCTGTCAGCTGCGCTCTCGCCTCCTGCCTGGCTGTGCCGTGCTGCCCAGAGTGACCCCAACCTCCTGGGACCTCACTGGCCCAGGTCAGTCCAGGTAGGGCCTTTGTCAGAACAGAGAAATCAAAACCTAACTTGCCCCTGAGGGCACAGGATGAGACATTTGGGCAGAAAAGTTCCCTCTCCTATGACTCCATGTGGGTGCCATGAGTGGCCTGAGTTTAGGGAAGGGGTGGGGTGAAGCAGTGCCAGCTCAGCAGGTTCCAGATGCTCTGATGGCATATAAGGCACCTCAGTCCTTCAAAGCATCACAGGAGAAGGACGGGCCGAAACCAGCAGAGAAGGTGAAGGAGCTGAGACATGGAGGACAACCCAGCACCAAATGGCAGGTACCACTTGCCCCTGGAGGAGCCCTCCTTCTGAGTCCCTCCTCCTGGCTCCCTAACGGGACTTGCCTTCTCCCTAGGGAACCCCTGCTTCTCCTGTCTCTCCTGATGGCCCTTCTATGTCCAGGACCCTTAAGCTGATACCATGTTGACCTGTCCTAACCGCCTCCCATGTCCCCAGGCTAAAAACTGGGGGTCACCATTGAGGGTCCTGTTTCTCCTCTCCCTCCATCTCCCATGAAATCTATTCTTTCTGCTCTGAATTGAGACCCTAGGAGGTCACGTTCAGATTTATCTTTATGTTTTTGTAAAGGACACATTGTTTTTATGATGAGAAAGGAAATGTGTTGAGTTATTTGAGAAGACTAGTTTGGCATCTCTTTTCCGCAATGGGGCCACCCTTTCCCCGATGCACCATGTGGCTCAGGTTAACCCAGAAGAGCAGAGGAAACAGCGCCACTGGGCCTGCACCTGGCAGGGCTGGGTCAGCGGGACGAGGGCAGGACGGTGATGCCAGTAGAGGCCTTGTCAGAGCTCTGAGCCCCTGCACTGCTCCCGGGGGCACCCTGACAAAATGACTGGGCTGACTCCCCCAAGAACCCCCGAAAAGGTCAGAGAGGGAGGTTAGGTGGCTCCAGCTAAGTGAGTGGACGCCTATTCTCTGTGGGTCTAGCTGGGATGTGGGTGCAGAGGAGAGAAGAACGGGGTGATCCCCAGAGGAGCCCCATGCCTTGCTTCCTCCTGCCTGTGCCCACAGAACCCTGATGGATGCAACCACTTTCAAGGACAACTTCAGTCACAGACGGGCGAGAAGAACATACCTGTGCTACCAGGTGGAGGTCTGGGAGGGCGACGCCTGGGCCCCAGTGGAGGAGCTCTACGGCTTCCTGTGCAACCAGGTGAGCGAGCACAGCAGGCAGGGCCCCCGGGACACTCGGGGAGAAGGTTCCATGCCCGCGGGGTGTCCTCTGAGCAATGTCCCTTGGCCCCCAGCTGCTGTGGCGTTGCCCAGAGGCAGAAAGGACGGACTCTGCTGTGATTGGCAGCTTGGAGCCCCACATCAGAAAGCAGTCACAGTGTCCCAGGGCCTGGGCCCACCAGCCCAGGGTCAGCCCAGCCTCCAGGGTCAGCCTGTCCCTCCTGCTGTGCCTCTGAGGAGGGGTCAGGCCAGAGGGAAAGGCACCTGGACAAAGGGACTGTTCTCCCCTGAACCCGCCAGGGCCGCCTCTGGCCAGAGAGCCAGAGCTCCCCCTTGGTGCTCCCTCCAGTCACTCCTGGGACAGCCTGGCAGGGTGCTGTCCCCACAAGTGCATTGCCAGCTGCACGTAGCCCAGGACGCCTCCTGGGTCCCCAGGTACCATCCTCTGCCACTAGGGCTCTGCGCTAGCTCCGTGGGCCTGACTTCTTCCTCCTCCTTGAGCCCCTGGTTGAAAACCCTTCCCTGGGCGGGTGGGCTAATCTCCATAATCTGTGAGCCCAGCAGTGACGCTCATCCCGTGTCTCCCGCACCTCTGCCTCGGTGCCCTCACCCCTTCTTCCCGCAGAGTTGTGTCTCCCTTGGGCTCAGCACAGGGGGAAGCCCAGAGTAGAAGCGTGTGGAGGTGTTGGTGCACAGGCGGAGCTCGAGGTAGGGGAGTAGAGGGAGAGCGCCCCTGCCTGGAGGGAGCACCCACCCCTGTGGCATCAGGCCCATGACCTTGGGGCTCATCTGCCTCTTCCCTCTGTCCTCAGCTATTTATTTATTTATTTGTTTGTTTGTTTGTTTGTTTGTTTGTTTATTTATTTAAAAGACTTTTATTGATTCCAGAGAGGAAGGGAGAGAGAGATAGAAATATCAGTGAGGAGAGAGAACCATTGGTTGGCTGCTGCCTCCTGCATGCCCCGCCCCCTGATGAGAATCAAGCCTGCAACCTGGGCCTGGGCCCTGACCAGGAATGGAACTGGTGACTTTGTTTTGGATGGGTCTCTGCTCAACCCACTGAGCCACACCGGCTTGCTGCCATCAGCTCGTTGTCCCCCTGCGGGGCCTGACTAGGTGCAGCTCCTGAAAGTATAGGCTTTGGGCACAAAATAGAGTCTCTCTGGCAAGTCTGTATCAAGATATATCACATGGAGCCCAGCTCTGTGTTCTCAGTGGTTAGAGCGTCAGCCTGCACAGTCAGGGGCCAGGGGTAGGATTCCAGGTCAAGGGCACTTATCTCAGTTCCAGCTTTGATCCCTGGCCCCGGGTCGTGGAGTGTGGGGTAGGCAACCAGTGGATGTGTCCTCCCACATTGATGTTTCTCTCTCTCTGCCCCCTCCTCCATCCCTCCACCCTTTCTCTTAAGACCAATGGAAAAAATCTACCAGGTGAGGATTTGAAAAAAGAACCATATTTAATGCAAAACTTTAAAAAATCAAAACTAATGCAAATTCCATGGTGAATGGAATATCGACAGGCTAAGTGAAGACTGATCAGTTACAGAGCCATGGTAGCCATGGTTTGCTGATGTAGGAAAGTCCTCACTGCTGATGTGCCCTTTGTAGATGCTGATATTATGTGATTTGTGTCGCCTGACCTTTGACCCTGTAGATGAGTGATGGCGTACCATTTGAGCTGAACATTTTAGCATTTTGAAAAACCCTAACTTAACTCTGGTGCCGTGTCACATATAGAAATTTTTTGACATTTGCAACCATAGTAAAACAAAGATTTATATTTTCGATAATTATTTTATACATTTAAATGCCATTTAACAAAGAAAAATCAACCAAGAAATGAGTTGGCGTGTCACCTCTGACACGCGTGTTATAAGTTCGCCATCACTGGTGTAGATCCTGCATTGAGATAGCGTTCATCCTGACGCTGAGCTGTGCCCCTTCAGTCCTGTGCTGGAGGCCAGGCCTCACCTGCCTCTGGCTGGTGCCACCCTCGCCTGTTCACAGCAAGTGACAGATCCCTCTTCTCCCTCCATGTGCTCAGGGACTCCGTCATGCAGAGTTGTGCTTCCTGGATCGGGTCCCTTTTTGGAACCTGGAAGAGGGGAGGCAGTACAGACTCACCTGCTACATCTCCTGGAGCCCCTGCCCTGACTGTGCCCAGAGACTGGTGGAATTCCTGGGCAATAACAACCACATGAGGCTGCGCATCTTCGCTGCTCGCATCTACACCTTTGTCAGTGGACATGAGGATGGGCTGCGCCAGCTGTGGGACGCTGGGGCCCAACTCACCATCATGACCCGCAATGGTCAGCAGGGACTCCTGAGGGTGGGAGGTGGGCGGGCAGAGAGGCTGGGAAATGGCTACACAGAGGGGGCAGGAGGAGAATCCAGGTGGGGACACCTGTCAGCTGCCTGCAGGGGGGCTGCTGGGTCTGGAGAGGATGGAGTCCCCTGGAGGAGAGAGTTCAGGGGGGAGAGGGGGTCCTGGGAAGGGGGGACATGGGTCCCTGTGCCATCAGGACCCAGGTCTTCCTGGTAGAAGGGGAGGGGCTGCCTCAGATTCCAGTGGAAGGAAGAATTTGAGGCATGAGCTCAGTGCCTTGGGAGGAGGGAGAAAGGGGGCAGGGAGATCCTGATGGGGAGGGTGTGTCCCTAGAGTCAGAGACCTGGGCCCTCCCTGCTCTAGAAGGAGCTCACCTTTCCCTCCCTGTTCACATCAGACCTGCAGCACTGCTGGGACACCTTCGTGGACAACCAGGGCGATCCATTCGAGCCCTGTCCTATCCAGGTAGAACACATAGGAACCGAATCTCAGGAGCTGGAGAACATTCTCAGGGTGAGGTTCCTCCTTCCTGCTCCCCCCTCCCCTTCTCTCCCTGGGCCTGTCTCCGCCTCTGGGCCACTTGCTTCCCCCAGGACCCCAGCTCCATCCCTCCCCTCAGTCTCACAGTCCCTCTGCTTCCTCCCCTCCTGCGCCCCTTTTCCTTCCCCTCCTGTGACTGCCCCAGACTCTGCTCTGTTCACCTTCCCACCTGCCTCACTCCCTGCTTCCTCCACCTCCTCCTTCTCCATCCAGAATCAGGGAAACTGAAGGACGGACTCAATCTCTCTAAACAGTCGGGGTCTTCTGGTGAACGACGCATCAAACACTTTCTTCAAGAAATGAAAGCTCATCACGTGCTGCATCTCCAACCTGATCCACAGAAACCAGCAAAAGGCAATGAATGAGCTAATAAGAATTTTTTTTTTTAAAATCTGACCGATTTACTTTTCAATTAAAATCTATGATATGTTCTAAATACACATCAGTAATATTGTATTCATTACTAACAGAATCATTTTTATATTTAGAAAATTAATTATTTACATTGATTTTAAGTCCAAAGCAATAATATGAAAGATTAAGAATCTTCCACAAAATGTGTTTTCCTCTGTAAGTGTTTCATGAAGTCCAAATAGTTCAATAAACACTTCTGTAGGTACCTCATGGGAGGGCAGTGGTCACACTAATTGCCACTGGCCACGTATAGTCAGCAATATTTATAGGAGCGGAAGCTCAAACCCGAGGGCCTAAACACATCGACCAAGGATGTGCTGAGAGTAGTGCTGTGTGAAATGACAGCCCCTGCAATAGGAGAAGAGAAAGGCTCAGGGCCACTATTGGGAAGAGCAATTGAAGTTGACATTGGCTGAGGGGAGGGCTGGGGATTACTGAGTCCTCAGGCCTTTCCAATTCCACTCCCTGGAGAGGACGCTGGAGGGAGGGGCTTCCCTGCAGAGAGGATCCCTCTGCCCTTCCCAGGACCTGGCCACGCAGGATGCAGTGCAGGCAGCAGCTGTCTGTCCTGCCGTGTCTCTGTGGAGCCTGAATCATGCTGAGCGAGTCCCTGGCAGCAGGCATCCTGCACAGGCCTTACAGGCAACAAAGGCTCCACATGCTTCTCTCACATGTCCGGACCCCCCCTGTCACAACCTCACACAGGACTGTGAGGGTCTGGGACTGAATCCTTTAGTTTAGAGACATTGGAGGGATAGAGAATGACAGTCATATGCTTGTGGCCAAAGCAGTAGGAGGGGACTGAGTCAGGAGGACACAGAGCCAGAGGGAAGACCTGATAGACAAAGTGACCTGAAGAGATGGAAGAAGAGGACAGGAGAGGGGTGGTGGGGTGGGGTGCGATGGGGAGGGATGGGGTGGGGCGGGGCAAAGCAGGGCTGGAGGCCAATGGTGGGAGACAAGGGGCAGGAATGAGATCCAGGACAGAAGGCTGGGTTGTCAGGGGACTGTGGCCGCCATGGAGGGGCTGAAAGTCAGCTTGTTTCCCAGGACAAGACCTGTGGGAGGAGGAGGACAGTGTGGGCCTGGTCAGCCAAACAGTGATGCTATTGGAATCTCTCCCCCAGCCCTGAGCCCCAACTCAGCTCTGGGGGGTTGTCTCCTCCTGCTGGTCTCCTCCAAGCCTCAGATGGGGGCCACCTCCACATCTGAAAGTCGGGCCTGATGCTTCCAGCTCCCTCTCTGCCATTTCCTGACCCCATTCCCTCAGGAGGGAGAGGATGAAGGAGAGTTTTTTGTTTGTTGACAGACAGATCCTGCCCCAGGTTTATTTGTACAAACAGCAGAGGAGGGCACCAGGGCCACGCAGACAGCAGCCCAGGGGCCCCCCAGTCCTTCCGTCCTCACGTCGGCAGACAGAGGCCTGTACTGTGGAGCCTTCGTGGGGCCTGGGCTACTTTGGGAGCAGGTGCCTGGGTACCTTTGGGAACCTGAACTTCAACCTGACGCACAGCCTGGGTCTTGGTTTCCGCCTTGGCCTTGGCCTTTGGCCGGCAGAGCCTGGGCCTCTTCCCAATGTAGGCATGAGCACGTTTCCCAGGCTTGGGGTGAGCAATTTCGGCAGGTCAACTGAGTTTGCGGCGGCAGCCCTTTGGGGTATTGGACCTGGGCTCCTTGACACAATTCCTCTAAGTTTTCTCAGATCACCAATTTGTAAGAAAAAGAAAAAAGAACAGGCAGAGTTTCTGCAATGATGTTAAATTGCAAGGTAGTATTTTCAATGTTTAAATGCTAAGAATAGTTTCATCAGTGAGATGTCCCTGCCACCTGCTTCCTTGTCTGTTTTGCAGGTTTTTGCCATTATGGCAGGGGCGGGGCAATCAGTGAGTTCCACCCCCTGCCACATCCTGATTGGGTCATGCTGTGGTCCAACCCCTGCAGGTCTAGGGGTCCCCAAAGGTGTGGATGGAGTCGGCAAAGAAGGAATGACACAGAGGCAGCGTTCAGTTGATCAGCAGCCTAGCCAGGATCTCTAGCCAAGTTCTGGTCAGGATCTCCAGCCAGGTTCTGTGTCCATGTTCTCTTGCTAGGTTCTCCAGCCAGGTTCTGTAGCCATGTTCCTTCGCTAGGTTCTCCAGCCAGGTTCTGTCCAGGTTTTCCACCCAGGTTCAGTCACCAGGTTCTAGTCAGGTTCTCCAGCCAGGTTCAGTCACCAGGTTCTAGTCAGGTTCTCTTGCCATGTTCTATCCAGGTTCTGTCTCTAGGTTCTTCAGCCAGGTTCTCTCGCTAGGTTCTGTGTCCTGTTGTCTTGTTACATCTGTATTTATACCAGTTTATTCCAATCCTATCAACTTCTATTCCAAAGGTTAGGGCGTTTCTTATCTCCATTGCAGGGAGTAAAGATTATGTAGCTTAAGCGTGATTGTTCGTAGTTAAAGTGATTAACTACCCGCCTGGCACTTAGTTAAGGGGTTTTATTCCCTCCCTAACTTCAGGGGAAAATTCCTACCTGGGGAAACAACCTTTCTCAGAGAGGTGACCTTGGTTAAAACACATAGTGCCAAGAAGGTGAGCAAACATATTAAGAACAGTATGCAATATACGCCAAGTCCCTTGAAACATATGCTGTGCAGATGTTTCTTCCCTGCAGCGACTGTGTCAAGCAGCAAGGATGGAATGGCTCCCAGCAGGGTCAGAAGTGCACATGTGACCTAAATCCGTCCAATCAGTGTGAACCTCAGGACTTTTTCCTGGGAATTCTGGGACACACCATTGGTTTGGATGGTGTGTGAACATGTGGGGCGTGGTGCTGCTGTAACAATTTTTTAAAAAATAATTTATAAAAATTGATTTCAGAGAGAGAAATATGATTGCGTTGCCTCTCATAGGTGCCCCAACCAGGGATGGAACCCACAACCTAGGCATGTGCCCAGGCCGGGAGTTGGACCCACAGCCTTTTGGGGTAGGGGAGGACACTCCAACCCTCGGAGCCCCTCAATCAGGGCATTGTTCTACCTCAGCGAGCTGGTCTGTAAAGAAGCCAACACAAGGGCACTTGCAGGGGGAAGGAGCCCGAGCCCTGATGTAACAATGACCTCGTTAGTCCCAGTCGTTGGTTAATCCACCTGGAATGGGTGTCTGTCCCGACTGAACCCATCCTGAGCCGTATCCTATCTGGTTTTTCTCACAGCAAGCTGAGAAGGTGTGCATCTGACTGGCAGGGTGAGATGCTGTTTGCATCTTTTTTTTATTTCCTTTACCCCCAACCAAGGCCTACATGCGTTTTGTTGACCATTAACTCCTTTCTGTGAACAAAGCAGCGTGTGGAGCCACCTTTGGTTCACAGAGCCCTTCCTCCTGGAAGTCACGGCCACATCAACTCTGGCATCGACCCAAAGGCCCATTCCTAGCCCAGGACTCACAGGGACCATGATCTGTAAGTAAAAGCCTCTTACCAGGCTTGGAATGACCAGCCAAATGACAAGCCGGGCAGCACTTTTCCTTCCTGTTGGCACTCACTGTGCCGAGGGCTCGCCGTGTGCCTCACCATGTGCAGGGTTGGCTGCTCAAAGGCACAGGAGCCCCTGCCATGTGGATGCCATCATTGCTTCTCTACTGCGTATAGTCCTGATGCCTGCAACGTACAACAGTGTCATCCGATAGAGGGGTTTTGTCAATAGTCCTTTGGCTTTCTCTCCGAGCAAAGTCTTTATCATGTTCTGCCCAGCAGGTTTACAGTCTTCTTGGTAATTGTATGACTGGCTTTTATGTGCATTTAAGAGGGAGCAACTTAGAATGATGCTTCTGTAGCTTTGGTCTCCCCTGCACCTTTAGTAACAAGAATTATTCATTTCTTATTAGAAAGCATTTTTTGTGCTTCTGAAAAAACTGCAGTGATTGCTTTTTTGGAAGGTCATGGAAGACCTTTTTCATGGCTCCAGACTACTATTTATCAAAGCTTTAGTTTTAATGGTAACATATTGAGGACTAGGG